CCAAAATCCTTCATTCCCACGCTTTGGCTCTCTCCTTGGGCAGAAAGCAAAGAAAAGCTTAATCATTGCTGAGAGCAGCACAGCTCCAGCAGAGATCCATAGTAATTTCATGGAATTTTAGGACGTATTTAGCCCTATATCACATAGCATGAGCCTAACTTCCTGGCATTGCCCTGCTTGGGACTTGAGGGCTGTTTTTGGGGCCAAGCTGTTCTGAGCTGGCTGGGTGTGCATGCTGCTGGTGTAACACAGCTCTGCTTCCAATTTATTGGGTGCATTTTGGAGTTCAGGCCTCATCTGGAATATCTTCATGGGATGTTGGCCCACCATAGTCCTCTGCTACTTAGAGCTGATTTTCCAGAATTCAGCTGGAGTCTCCAGAGCTCACTTTATTGAGCCTTTTTCCCCCACCTTAATATTTTGGGCTCTTTATGAGGTGCCTGTCCTGGGGTTTGTGGCTAGAGATCCATGAGGAATCACTCAGAGCAGCAGGGTCTGTTGGAAGACAAATAGGGCTGCTCCAGGCTCCTGAGCATTGCCTATTTTCTGCAGCCTAATGGGAGTTTCAATTAACATGGACAAGTACAATCATAAATAACCCTCCTAAAATTAATGGAATTTTAAGGCTTCATTGGCACCAGTCCCTGTGATGCCTCTCCATGGCAATGCCATGATTTCCAGCTGAAGGGAGTTGATGACATGTATTGACTTTTTCATTTCTTAGAAGAGTCTATATATTTTGAGAATAAAATGTAAATTGAAAAATATGGAAGTAGCTGTTTTTTTATGGAGGAAAGAGGACAAGTCAGCTGGTGAGAAGTTGTCTGCAGCTGAGCAAGAGATGCTCTCCTGCCACATTTTTCACCTTGTTACCTGAGCTGACACAGGCACAACCCATGGAGACTCTGTGGCTTTATTTTGGTAATTACTAATATTTCACAGCTGGGTTGAAACCTGGATTTAACCTTATCCAGGCTGTGCTGTGAACACTTCTGAGAACATTGAAAATACACCTCAAAGTTCACAGTTACAGAAATATTCCCTGTGTTGCCTCCAGACCCGTCCCCACCCACCAACACCCCGCCTCAAGGAAAATCCCAGCAGGATTAGCAGGGCTTAGACACGGTTTCTTCCACCCCAAACAACCTTTCCAGGTCTCAGCTGAAAATAACCACTTTGCCTCCGTGCTGAGGTTGCAGTGGAGGGAGACAGAGACGAACTAACAAAATCAGGTTGCTCTTAGAAACACATTTGTATTGGGCAGAAGAATTGATTGGGGTTTTGTGGCGTTCGCTGGCGTGTGGGTCTCGCCAGCCCCCGGGAGCTCTGTGCCGGCAGGAGACGCACGGGGTGAGGCGAGGTCTGGGGTGATTTAGTGCGGGTGAGCTGTCTCAGTGCTGGGTAATTTAGAGATGCAGAACTGAGCCTGGAAGTAATGAGCTCTGGCTAATTAGGTGCTTGTCTGCAGGTGGAACTATTGCAGCTGGTGCTCCCGATATTGCTGGTTTGTGTTTGAAAGCATCATGGAATCAGTGGGATGTGGGGAATATGGATAATTTGCAACAAAGGGATTTTTTTTTCTGTTACCTTCCCCCAGACCCCAGCTTTCCTTTGGCATTCATGTTTGGTTTGACTGTGAGATTATCACACATGGACCAAAGATGGAGGGGAAAGGGGCTTTTTATACAGGCAGATACTGAGAGGACAAAGGGGAATGGCTTCCCACTGCCAGAGGGCAGGGATAGAGGAGATACTGGGCAGAAACTCTTCCTTTTGAGGTGGGCAGGCTCTGGCACAGGGTACCCAGAGCAGTTGTGGCTATTTCATCCCTGGAAATGTGCAAGGCCAGGTTGGATGGAGCTTGGAAGTGAACTGGGATAATGGAAGGTGTCCCTGCCCATGGCAGGGGTGGGACTGGATGAGCTGTGGGGACCTTCAGAACCCAAACCAGTCTGGGATCCTGGGGTATTTTGTGGAATGGATATTTAAAGGGATGTAAGTTGGAGGATTTGGAGACGTGCTCAGGTACAAACAGGACGTGCACTGTGGCTGTGGCTGCTGCAGACAGAGCCTGGGGATGTGCCAGGTGGGCTCTGCCCCTGAACTTGGGCTGCACACTCGGACGTGCCAACGCCCGCATCCGCAGATTCCAAAACTCGTGGCGGGACTCCCAAAGAGAGAGGAGCAGGACTCTGAACAGCAGCATGATGCTGTGGGCAGAGGGGCACAGCATGCTGTTCAGTGAGCTTTTGAAGGTCACATTTTCCTTTTAAACTGCAGTTTTCAGCCATGGAAAGCTTGTTTTCCGACAGGCATTGAGGTTCATCGGGATTTGTGTGCCCCTTCTCTTTGGAAAGCTCTCCCTGATCCCATTCAGCTCCGTGCATTGTGTGGCAGACAGCAGGGAAAGGCAGTGTTTGGGATTATTTGGAAGCTGGTGCTGAGATTAATGATACATAATTAGGTAAAAAGCTCAAGATGTATTTTGAGGCAAGTTTTGTTACAAGGAGAGTGTTCATTTAGAGTGTGCAATAAGATGGGATAAGCAGAGAAAGACTCGCTGTAACATTTGGATCCAGAGCTTGGGGGAGGATGATTTAATGAGGAGGATGGACAGGATGGTAACTTCCAGTTATCATCTCAGAGTTTAGCTGGGGAGCAAGGAACGAGTCCTGCAGTCAGGCATTTTGAACAAGGCAATAAAGGAATGGTGAAACATCAACAATATTTATGTAAGTGTATTTCTGGTACAAAAGGAGAAGATAAATACCTTATTTAAGGTTTTGTTCCAAGTATAAAATAGCCCATAAACAAGAATTTAAAGAGAGTTCAGTGATGCAGTTTAATACACAAAACACATGAAGGATTAAAGAGGTTGTTTGTACAAACACTTCATTGATCCACTTAAAATTTATATGGCTGATAAATGGCAGTTGGACTATGAACACTGACTACACATGTGGCACCAAGGAGCTTTATACTGGGCCATAAAATGTTGAAACAAGCTTAATAATGGCTTTTGCCATCGGATCCTTCTGGGGATAAGTAATTCTGGAAAGTGGCAGACCCTAAAGGTTTGCATCTCTTGACAGGGATGATGTACTGCTCTATTAAAAATCTCGGTACTTTTAAACCATGAACCCCATTTTTGCCACTTTGCAAACACTTTTTATTGTGTTCCTTTGTTTTTAAAACATTTGACTTGCCAGAAATAGTCCTTAGATCAGAGTTAATTATTGGTGTAAAGCTCTCATGAGCTTTTAAGGAATTCCTCACCTGCAGCTCTTAACCTTGACCGTATTCCTGAGTGCTCATGCCAGCAAAAAGTTGTACTTGTTTTTCCCTGGAATAGTAACAATAAACACCAAACACTGAAACACCAGTGCCTCCCTGGAGCTTGACCTGTGGTATAGTCAGGGCTCAGAATTGTGCTTTGTTTTGACATCCCATCACATTGTGCAAGAGCAGTTGCATCCAGCTGAGAAAACGGAAATAAAAGCACTCTTTTCATACAGAGGCCACCTCATTCCTTCAGACTCAGCCAAAGGACCTGATCCCCTTGTTGTCAATCCACTAGCAAAAAAAAAAACAAACCCTGAACAGACAAAAAACCCCACCCAAACACGCCCTAAAATAAAACGCACTCTGAAGGAAGTGAGATGGGATATGTTGTTGGATGGAGGCTGGGAATGGTTAGAAAGGGTAGGCATTTTATTAGGTGGGGGTCTTTAAATGTTTTCCAAAGTTATGTTGGTCTTGATTTTTGTAATATTAATTATCTCTCATCTGTTATGAGCAAGAGCAGCTTAGCTGTGAAGGGTCAGGGTGCTCAAGTCCTGTAAGAGCTGAAAATGTGGAGGTGACAGAGAATGGGGGAAATCAGCATGGGTTTCTGTAATTAGGGGCTGGATTCTGCAGATACACAGGAGGATTGAATTATGGTCACCCAGGCAACATCAATCCTGCCTTTCCCTAAGTTTGGAGTTACTTGCTTTGTAACCTGAATTTTATTCTTCCTTGGAAGAAGTCAGTTTGGTTTTCACATTTCAGCATGGAGAGATGATGACACTGTTTTGATCTTATATTTTTTCATTTTCCCAGTCAATGTGTCACTTGGTGGAGTTTGCTTTGGGATTTTGTTGTTGTTTTGTCTTCTAAAGGCTGTAGTTTGCTTTGCCAGCATTCCTTCCTCAGGCTTCTGAAACGTGATCTGTCAAAAGAGGGATTGATTTAGAAGGGAAAATTGATTGCTGAAGTAGTTGCTAAGTAAAGGAGTCTGTGGTGCTACATTTGGGAGTAGCAAGATAAAAGCTGAGGGGAAACAAGCTGCAAAATTTCTTGCTGAGGAGTTTGTGCTGAGATTTAATTCTTCTGATAGAGAGCACTGATGCTTTCTGAACTCCTCATTCATTGCCGTGAAGCTTTCCAAACCACTCTGTGCTGTGGAGGAGTTCATCTTTTTCCTTTACCCTTTCCTTTACAAGCTTGGCTTGATTATTATCCCCTGTCTACTTGCTAGGAGGAGCATGATGCTGCCTCCCATCCCTTTTCCTCTGCGTGCACAGCACAGAAGTCGGGGAAGCAGCGAGATGGCAGCGGGGTTGCAGTGCTCGGGTCCCAAATCCCACGGAGGTCCCCCCGTGCTGCCTCTTTAAGAGCTCAGGCTCTGCCTGCGTGGGGATGGGCAGGAAGAGCTCCGGAGCCAGCCCGGCGTGGCACGGATGGGATGTGGCTGTGAGGGGATGTGGCTGTGAGGGGATGTAGCCGTGGGCTTCGCTGATGGATGCGGGGAGAGGACGCGGCGCTGAGCCGGCTCACGGCCAGAGCTCTCCAGGATCTCCCTGCCAGAGCTCCCTGGGATCTCCTTGACAGAGCTCTCCAGGATCTCCCTGCTAGAGATCTCTGGGATCTCCCTGACAGCGGTCTCCAGGATCTCCCTGCCAGAGCTCCCTGGATCTCCCTGCTGGAGCTCTCTAGGATCTCCCTGCCTGAGCTCCCTGGGATCTCCCTGCCAGAGCTCCCTGGATCTCACTGCTGGAGCTCTCTAGGATCTCCCTGCCAGAGCTCCCTGGCATCTCCCTGCCAGAGCTCCCTGGATCTCACTGCTGGAGCTCCCTTCCAGGTAGGACCGAGAGTGCCATGCCGTACAAAAGGCTTGACCCTGCCAGTGGAGGCTGGTAGAGCTGGGAAGGATGGGGTGATACCAGGGAAGTTCCAGCTGCTGTGAGTGGCAGAGCTTTTCCCTTTGAACCTTTTCAGAGCCTTGTGTTACCCAGCCAGCTCAATGAAGTGTTGCTGCTGGTGGGATGTTCACCTCCTGCATTTTAATTGTATGGTGAACAGAGAAGAGGCTGCAGAGGAGAAACACGCTCCTGGAAAGCTCTCTGCCATCACATCCCTGCATGCTTGGCTTTTATAGATTCCTTGCTCCAAAAAACTGAAAGAAATGCTCAAATTTGATGTGGTTTCTTGCCCTTCTGTAATCTTGCTTGACAGTTTTTCCTTGGGATTTTTAATGCACAGTTTCGGTACAAGCGGGAACATGTGTGGGGATTACATAACCCTGGGGAAGCCGGTGGGAGACTGGCTCCATTATTGGGCAGAGATGAAAATCAGGAGAACTGGACTGGTTTTGTGTAAGGTGTTTGCATAGGTGCCTGTGGGTACTGCAGGTGTTTTGATTCCTGGGAAGAGATGGTTCCTCGGAGCTGTGAGCTGGAAGGGGAGGAGAGGTCAGCGGTGCTCAGGGTAAAATGGTTCCTAGTTGCTGAAATGAGCTTAGGTGAAAAGCACCATTCAAGGGAAAATTAATCCATTTTGGGAGAAGATGGAATAATGTTCTCTCTGTCTTCCTGCAATCTTGGTGGAGCAGAGAAAGCTGTACAAATTCCTGCTGGAATGGCTGGTTTTGGTGTGTGTTTCCAGGCTGTAACAGCAGACAGAAATCTCGCAGAATCGCAGTTCTGTAATATGATTGGAACAAGCATATAAATGTGATAGAAGGAGGAGATCTCTGCAAGGAATTCCTGCTGTCATTTCACTCAGCATTTGGCAGTGTCACTGATTGCTCCAGCAGCTCCAGGCTGGTTTTTTTTTTCCTTAATCGCTTTACAGAGCAGTCACATATTCCCCTCTCCTCCGAGTGTGGCCATGGCTGTCTAATTAACAGAGATCTTCTTTTTAGGGAGATTTTTGGCTTCCAGAAAAATTCTGTGTGGTTTCCAGCCAGCGTTCCTTCTCCCACTGGGTCTATAATAGCTCCCAAAATTCCCTAGCTTGTAATCACTGCTGCAGCCAGATGGGGACTAGGTGGAACACCCATTGCATCTGTGCCTGCATTTATGAATTTGCCAGAAGTATCTCACTTAGGTGAGATTTTAGATATATATTTCATGAGTTAATGAGCCCTGAACAGCGATGAGGAGAATCCAGCGCTGGTACTGCCAGGGTTGCCATCCTTCTCCCAGATCCTGGCATGATGCTGATGGAGCAGGGAGAGTACTGAGGAGTCATTCAGCCTGACATGAGCAAAGCAGAGGCTGCAGTTCCATCTTACCAACTGATGGTACTTTAAGAGGTTCTTCTTGGATTTATCAGGGTCTCCTTGCTCCTGCTCTTCTGCTTCATTGCTCTCCTCATCTTTTCTCCCTGTGGAAGGAGCTGTGAAAGCTGTGTGAGGTTTGGATTCTCTTTGCTTTTCCTCTGCTCCCTCTCCCTTCCCACCCTCCTGGATGATTTCAGAGTATAGTTGCCCAAATTAGTGATGTGGGTGGCAGGATATGGGGGAGGAAGAGGGAGGGCACAGGGTGCTCCTGAATTGGATCTCAGCACGGGAGGGTAGTAACACAAAAGAGCTGCCTGAATTCCTCAGGGCATCCTGGTGTTCCTGGCTGTGGTGAATCCAGCGCTGCAGCAAGGCTGGGCTGGCTGGACTCTCACTCCTGCACTTGCCTGGCTGTGCTGGGGGAGCCTGAGGGCAGCAATCCCAAGCTTGTGCTGCATTTTGGGATGTGCAGCCCCGGTGGCACTAAAATCTGTGTGTGAGAGCAGATGAGTGAGTGCCCTGGGTTGGTGTGGGTGTGCATGAGGATGGAATGATGCTGCTGGATGAGGTTCTGCTTCCCACCTGCCTGCCCTGACCCGTTCACCTTCCTTGGTAGGGTATCCATGCTGTCATTTAACTCTTTCGTAGAAGAGCCTCATCAGCACAAGTTGTGATGAACTTTGCTGTCACCATGGCTCGCTTATCCCCCAGTAACAGCAGCTGGTATCCAAGAACAGGCTCCTTTGGCAGGTGGAGGGAGAGGGAAGGTGGTGATTTCCACTGGGGAGCAGGAACAAGCTTCAAGAGGCTTGGTGGGAACCCAGAGCCTTTCCATTTGCCCAGCTCCTTTCAGGGAAGCTGGAATCTCTCCACTAGTCCAGCTCCTCTCAGGGAAGCAGGAGCCTTTCCACTTACTGAACTTCTTTCAGAGCGTCAGTCTGTGGATGCCCCATGTTGGATACTGGAAATAATCACTTTCTCCAACCATTATTTCATTAAGATATACTGGAATTTAGGTCATTTTATTCCTATCAGTCTTATGTCCAGGTCAAATCCTTTTGCAAAAAGGACTTAAAAGGTTTCTTCTGGATCTGATGAGAATTATCCCTTCCTAGGAGAGATCTTAAACAGTGACTCCAAACTCTGCAAATCCATCTAAACTTCTCTTTCCTTCAGGCAGCTCTTCCTGGGTGCAAAAAGAGCCATTGCTCTGCTCAAAGGGGATTATTTCCTCCTGACTTATATAAGTTCTAAAATAAGAAAATAAATCCCAACCTTGACAGGGATGAAACCGTTTTTCCAAACTCAGGAGTGATCCCTTTTGAAGCAGCAATTGCTTCAATGGATTGTCAGGAGTGCCTGGGAAGGGAAATCTCAGCTGTGACACAAGGGGGGCAGCTCCATCCCACGCCTCGGGCTGTCATCCCTGTTATAGGGATGTTCTGGGGGAGAGGGAATGATGCTACAGCAGGAAAATTGAGTTTTCATTCCATCTTCCAGTGTGTTTTTAATCCTTCTGTCCCAGATTTTGGCTTTTTTGTTGTTTTCCAAAACTTGGGGGTGAATGCAAGATCCTTGGGATGAAGGCTGGGAGTGACTCTGTTCAAGTTTGTGACAAATCTTACTGTTGTTTGGCTGAGTCAGGGTTTTAAATCCCATTTGGTTGTTAAAAACCTCTCTGTTTTTTATATGACACCACTTGAGCCTGAGCTGGCAGATGAGCTAAGTGCAGATGAGCTTTAGACCCTGCAAACAAAATCTTGCCATCGTTAAAAAAAGGCAGAAAGAGATGTAGGGTGAATGAGCACCAGCCTCAGCCTAGGCACCAGCAGGGCTGGATCCGTTCCTGATTCTGCTGCCCTGGAGGTGGCCCTGGGCTGTCCTCTGTCACCTGCTACTGTGACAGGACAGGGCCTCCCTGCGAAGGTCAGGGCTGATCCCAGCATGGTCCCATCGAGCAGCTTTTTATTGTGTTTGGTGCTCAAACACTGAATATATTCTTCTCATTGAACTGAGAAGTTTTAGAGCAATTTCTGAGCCTGTTTGGTGAGGAGGAGCTTTTTAGTGACGTTCAAACCCAGAGCAGAGCGAGGCTGTTAAATTTAACTCTGTGTGTGTTTCTGGTGCTGTAAATTTGCCTCAGCGTTGCTGGAGGAGGAGCTGATCCAGCTGGGATGTGCTGTGAACAGTGGGAAGGGGCAGAGCAGGTTGTGACTGAACAACATTTGGTCCATTTTAAGGGGAATAGTTGGGATTGTGGAGCTTGGGGTGGTTGTTGAGTTGTGTCAGTGCCGACAGGGTCTGTCCTGTCACTGGTGTTGGTTCCGGCAAAACTTTGGGCAGCAGCATTAATCTGAGACTCAAACTTGGGTGCAAAGAGTCTCTTGAAATTTTGACTCAAACTAATCTGTGTTCAGAATTTAACTTAGCAATGTGTTTTTCCTTGTTAGAATAAAACTGAGAAGTGTTTTAATGACTCTTATTTTCTTTTTAAGTATGTTGACATGTTTGTGTCCTTCCATATGTGCAAGAACCTCAGTCAATCCAGCTATTCTCATTTCACATAAAATTTTGGTGTGTAAAGTATAAACAACAAAAAGGTGAAATCCAATTATGGCATTTAGGAAAATATTTCAGCAGGTGCCTTTTCTGTGACAGTGGGCATTGGGTATTGTCTAGATCTGTGTGAGGCCACAAGGTGTTACCCAAGTCAGGCTTTTTTATTCTTTTGGATTCCTGCATCCCCCCTGTTTTATAAACCAGATTCTGTTGTGGGTTTTTTTGTGCATAGTTTTTTTCGCCTTTCTTTTTTCCCCTTAGATTTTCACAATGCCTTTACAATTAAGAAAACTCGTTCAATTTGCCTTTAAATCACCCTGCAGCAGCTCTTCAAAACCTCCCATCGCTCTGCCAGCCCTTTCTTTAGGTGGGTGGACGAGGAAAGGAGTCACTGGGTGAAGAGAGGCAAACAAGGAAACAATTCCAGCAGGATTCCTGCGTGGTTGGCAGAACAGGAGCTGCCATTGTCCGGCAGTGCCCTGCTGATCTGCAGGGTTTGGCCGCCGAGTGCCGAGGGCTTGTGACTCCGGGGCTTTTTCCCTTTCAAACAGAAGCAGAGGTGGGGGACAGGCCCGAGGTTTTGTGGATTATTCGGAGACAAGTTTGTGTTGGTTCCCTCGTTCCTAGGGTGGGAACAGCTGCCTCTGGAGCCCGGGAGATCCCAAGGGGTCGGAGCTGCCCGGCTGTGGTTCCAGGGTGGGGTGTCCCTGCCGGGGTCCCCAAGCACGGCCCTGCCTTCCACGCTGCTTTCCTTGACTGGCTGTGTTGCAGAATCCCCCGAGGTCCTGTCCAGCAGCCCCTGGAGGATCGGATCTTCACTCCGACCGTCTCGGCTGTGTACAGCACTGTGAGTATCCGCGGGGATCGGGGCTGGGCAAAACCCCAGAGCAGCCAGAAACGAGCGTTGGAGATAATGCAACTTCCTTTTGCCCCTGAAAAAATGGTGCTCAAAAAGACTCTTTTGGTGGCATGTGAGAAGGAAAAGAAGAAAGGACCCTCTGGCTCTCCACAACTCCCTGACAGGAGAGTGCAGCCAGGGGGAAATCAGGCTCTGCTCACAGGGAACAAGGACAGGACAAGGGGTCACAGCCTCAACTTGTGCCATGTGAACCTCTCACGCTGGATATTGGGAAAATCTCTTAGCTGAAAGCGTGCTCAGACATTGGCACAGGCTGCCCAGGGCAGTGGTGGAGTCCCATTCCTGGAAGTGTTTAAAAGATATGTGGATATGGCACCTCGGGACAGGGGTTGGGTGGGCACTGGGATACTGGTGGAATGTTGGGCTTGATCTTGGAGGTCTTTTCCAACCTTAATCATTCCATAATGTTATGAATAATCTTTTTAGTTGCATAGGAGCAAGAAAGGGAGAAGTCTTTGAAATACTGGTGGGTCCATTGCTATTTTTAAGTGTCTCTGGTTTTATTTAGCATATTGGAGAGAGTTTTCCCTCTCTCCCAGTGGGAGGGTGTCACTGGAATGACACTGTTTTGGCCATATTTTCAGTTGGGTGGCTCCACCTCTTTCCCCTGCATCACACAGACTGATTTTTTTGTGTACTAGTGGCTTCACATTTCTAGTACCTTCTTATGAGAAAAATGATCAAGAAAGATTTGTTTTCACGTGAAACATTCCCTTACACAGAGGAGGAAATATTTTGATAGTAAATAGAATATTTGGGATAGATGCCTTTGGCTCACTGTCCTAGATGATTGCTAATGTATAATATTGATTATTGTAGAAATTTAGCTTAGATACAGCAATGTTTGTTTGTGAACATGATAGTATTTTCCTTTTATTAATTTTTTCCAATGGCAATAGCTGGAAGCCCAGGGTTATTTATAGACTTTGCTAAATCAGCACAGCCCTGGGAAAGTCATATTTTGCTTTTGTGGTTGGGATAGTGCAAATATTTTTAATGCCAAAAAACCCTGCTTTTAAGCTGCTCTTTTAATTATTTGGAAAACAGGAAGAAAAGCTGTAGATGGGATAAATACGTTTTATGCAGGAACATAAGCTGATTATAGAAAAACATTAGCTGCTGTGCAAGGTTTTCTCCTTCTCTGTTTGCAGGAGTGACTGGGGATGGAGTCTTTGGCTCTGGCTCCCTGGGGGCACCTGGGGCTGGAGCATCTCTTGCCCAGAGCAGCTGTGGCTGCCCCTGGATCCCTGGCAGTGCCAAGGCCAAGTTGGGCATTGGGGTTTGGAGCAGCCTGGGACAGTGGAAGGTGCCCCTGCAGGGGTGGAATGGGATGGGGAGGATTCAAGTCCCTCCCAACCCAAACCATTCCATGATGGTTCCATGATAATGATTATATTTATCCCTGTTTTGGGTGGTAGAGGAGTTCTATGCCTCCTCTACAGGGGCTGTCAGGAGTGCTGATCTGAGCTCTGGGCAGGATTAAGGGTAAAAGTGCTGCCAAGTGCCTGTTGGTCCCAGAAATGCAGCAGCTTAGGTGGCTGTGGTGGCAGGACACTGTGGCCATGGGTGGTCTGGTGGCCAGGGAGTTGGGGATTCCCACCCAGGTGAGTTGGAATGGGTGGGGTACAGCTAACAAGGGTTGAAGATTATGAGGTTTGAGGCAGTGAAACCAGGGAACCAACAAACCTGAGCTGCAGGCTTTGGGCACCTTCTGTTCTCAGTACCTGATACAGAAATGTTTGTGTGCAGAAAAGCAAAACCAAAGGAACAAATTGTGAAGAAATCCTTCCCTGGGAGGGTAGGGAGGCCCTGGCACAGGGTGCCCAGAGCAGCTGTGGCTGCCCCTGAATCCCTGGCAGTGCCCAAGGCCAGGCTGGACAGGGCTTGGAGCAGCCTGGGACAGTGGAAAGTGTCCCTGGCCATGGAACAAGATGAGCTTTTAAGGTCCCTTCCTGCCCAAACCATTCTGTGAACATAAACGTACAAACAGTTATAATAAATAATTCAGTTTGTATTATCTTTTATATACCCCACACAACACTTAAAAAACACTTTAAAAATATCTGAAGTCCTTTAAAGAAGGTTATTTTTTTCAATTCTTTCCTCCCAAGATATAATGCAGATGCCTGTGGGGGAAAATATGACTGTAAAAATTTAAATTAATGTAAAATAGAAAAGTAACTGTGAAGAATGACCTAAAATAGCTTTTCAGTGTGGAAAAATACCACTCCTATGTTACAGGAATAGAAGGCAGGGCTGGAAATATCTCAGTTCCAGGATCTGAGAATGCAGAAGTTTGAGAGAAAATTTCATGTTTTGGGGAAAGGAGAGAAATTTCTCGCCTGGGTTCCTTTCAGGCTTCCATTAGAAGCCCCAGGCAGATTTCAGATTCAGAGGGAGTCCAGGGGAAAATGAATTGGGATGGAAAAAGCACATGATGGGAGTGCCTTGACAAATTCATTCATGAAAGGTCTCAGTGGTTTGTTACACAAGGAACAGCACCATGTGTTTGAGGCCTGGGTTTGCATTAAACAGGCATTTTGAACAGCAATGTGAAATCACAGAATCGTGAAGGTTGGAAAAGGCCTACACGATTTTCAATTTCAACCTTTAAGTGCATCCTCAGTATCCATGGGCTGCTTTTTCCCATCAGTGTTTCATTTGCTTGCACATCTTCTGTGGGATTCCACGTGGATTATGGATCATCATTTCTAGAGCATGACTTTCCATGTTTTTCCAGAGTATGACTGGTGTGGGAAGAGTTTTGGGGTCCATAACCACCACGTGGTGACTGAGCTACCCCCGTGTTGGCCCTGTACATCATGCATGGGGTGGGAGGAGAAATCACTTGAGATATGGACAACCCACATATGAACCCCCAATTTTTAGTTAGATAAAGAGAAAAAAATAATTCAATTATCCTTTCTCTGCCTTTCCACATCCATTATCAGAACCTTGGTTGCACATTCCAGAGCTCTTTTTTTTCTCCCCACAACTACAAAAATGGGAATGGCAAATCATGTGGTTTCCCCTATGAGTCCCAATAATAAAATTAAATCTGAGGGAACAAATTTTCCTGTAGGACAGAGGTAGGAGGTGAGAAAGAGGCAAAGTGGGATGAAGTTTGTCTGAGAACTTGGAGATGCTCAAAATGCACAGTAAGGCTTTGGTAGAACCTCTTTTACTATTATTAAAACCAAACCCACCTAAATTTATCATAAGTCATCTGTATTTATTTCTTTATTGTGACATGCTATACTGAATGGGTTGTTGGCTTGGGTTTTTTAATAAATAAATCCAGCAGGAAAATTTTGAAAGCAAGCCACAGCTGGAAATAAATTAACTAAGCTTGCAATAATTTTCCCTCATCAAAAATGGAGAATGCTCTATTGCAGAGCTGCTTTTGGACATAAAAGTTTGGGTTGTTGTAAACTGCTTCTTGCCTGGTGTTTCCAAATCCTCTACACTGCAAGAAATGAGGGTGATTACTTGTGTGACCTCTGAAAGATCGCAAACCTGCAGAGTTGCAGAAGGGACATAAGCATGAAATTTTGTTTCTGTTGTAAATTATTTCAAAGAAATATATTCAAGAGACTTTTTTGGGTTGGAGTTATTTTGAAAGATGTAGACCTGTAACAGGAAGGGAACCGCACAAAAAGTGAGTGTGAATCCCACCAGCCACCCCTGTCCTGTGCCCAGGGGAATGGGGCTGAATCTATGGAAAATGAGATTAATGAGCAGAAGCAGACATGCTCTTCAGATTCAGCATGAGGCACAGCTCTGGGATTGGATAGGAATAACGGTGTTCATGGACATCCTGGTTTTGCACAAATAACTAGTTTTGGCAGGTTATGTTGGAGGTTTGTAACTGATTTAGTAGCATGTAGTGATTGGAAGTGCTGAAGCTTGGACCAAAACTGCTCAGGGATAAATTCTGATGAGCTGAGGAGCAACACTGAGGCCCCGAGCAACCTGCTCCAGTGGAAGGTGGGATGAGTTAAAGGTCCCTTCCAACCCAAACCATTCTGTGTTTCTGTGAATGACTTCTGGATGAGAACTGATTAGGAGTGAGTGTTAACGAGGTGTGTTTGTGTGGGGGAAAGTCACCTGGTCAGGTGCAGCCTGGAGCAGGGTCCCCGTGGCAGGGCTGGATCCCACACTCACTGAAGGCACTCGAGTTGCTGTCCTCATGTGCCTTTTGGAGCAGGTGCCACATCCTGTCAGGGAGCTCAGCTCACACCAGCTGGGGGCAAAGAAGGCAAAGGGGAAGTGAAGTGCTGAAGAGCCCCCTTGTCCCAGATTTTCAAGGATTAAGGGTTGACTCTGTCATTCGCTCTTGGGGTGTTTGGTTTGGTTGTTTTCTGTCCTGGGGTGCCCATTGGTCCCCCCGAGTGTTTCACATCCAGCAGAGGTTCTGTGATTCACCTTCGTGTCCTTTGAAGGGATCTTCCTGCAGTGAAGAGAATCCTGTAGAAAAGGGATTAGGGAGGATTAGCTGC